TGAAACTTCTTCCACAGATTTTACAAGAGTACGGCTTCTCACCTGTGTGAGTTCTCATGTGGACTTTCAAAATACGTCCTTCATTGAAACTTTTTCCGCAGATTTTACAACAGTACGGCTTCTCACCTGTGTGAATTCTCATGTGGACTTTCAAATGACCTCCTTGACTGAAACCTCTTCCGCAGATTGTACAGGAATATGGCTTTTCCTCTTTGTGGATTGCTGTGTGCCTTTTATGTCCTGATGTGTCAGAAAATCTTTTTCCACATGTGTTACAAGAATATGGCTTCTCACCTGTGTGCGTTCTCATGTGGTCTTTTAGCTGAGCTCTATAGCTGAAACTTTTCTCACATGACTTACAAGCAAACAGCTTCTCATCTGTATGACTGATGGAGTGTTTCTTCAAGCTGTACCTATTTTTAAAGGCTTTTCCACAGACCTCACATGTGAAAGTCTTTCTCCCTGTGTCAGTTTCACAGTGACTCTCAGTCATGGGAGTGTTGTCTACATTGTTACTGTGACTGTTGTTTCTGTGATGTGTCTTCATTGGCTTCAGCTTTGAATTTGTAGTTGGTTCTAAGTCTGTATGCCTACTTCTTTCCTTATCTGACCTCTCAGCTACAAAAAAGTTGTGACAGAGTAGCTGGTAACTGTTTGGTTCTGTGTGTCCTTGGTCCCTTTCCTTATAAGTATGAGTTGCTATATAGGTATCACTCTCCTGATTCTGGAAAAGCAGCTGTCCTCCAAGACGGATGCAGAGTCCCTCCTGTTCCTCTTTAATCTGTGAGGATTCTGGATCTGCCTGGTCCAGCCTGGTGCAGAGTTCCTCTTGTTTGTCTTTCATCTGTGGAGGCTCTGGGTCCTCCTGGTCCAGACTGGTGCAGGGTTCCTCTTGTTCCTCTTTCATCTGTGGAGGCTCCGGGTCCTCCTGGTCCAGACTGGTGCAGAGTACCTCCTGTTCCCCTTGTTCCTCTTTCATCTGTGAGGATTCTGGGTCCTCCTGGTCTAGAGTGGTGCAGAGTTCCTCTTTCATCTGTAGATGGTCTGGATCCTTCTGGTGCAGACCAGAGTTCCTGTCCTGATTACAAAGCAGGTCAGCAGGAGCCTCCTCCTTCTGATAGACATAGTGCAGTGGGAGCTCTAGGGACAAAGGGACACAAGAAAATTGTTACTGATGTGATGAAAGGCTAACACACATCTATCAAAGTAGGAACTTCAAGAAACAACTAAAACATTGCTGAGAGGCTGAGGTAGGGTCTGGTTAATCTTGTATGACATATAATAGAATAGAAGAGAATAGAATAGAATCGAATAGAATGCTTTTTATTGTCATCATACACAAGGTACAACGAAATTAAATGCTACTAATGTTACCACAAACTCCAAAAGGTCATCTCTGATATATTCTTTATTTATTAAATGTAAAGTATCCATCCATCCATCCATCTTCTCCCGCTTATTCGAAGTCGGGTCGCGGAGGCAGCAGTCTTAGCAGAGCCGCCCAGACTTCCCAATCCACACACACCTCCTCCAGCTCTTCCAGGGAGACCCCCAGGCGTTCCCAGGCCAGTCGAGAGACATAA